CGGCCCCGAGTGAGCAACCGCATCGCGTGGCCGTGGTGGGTGCTCAGCCGTATTTTTGGCGTGTGTTGTGGAAGTGGGTCTCCCGTCGGAGGAGCTCATCCCGGGCCTGAGGTAGCGGGGTCCTGGCTCCCTGTGGCTGGGGGGAAGTCGGGGGGGCTGCCTCGCAGCCGTGGGTTAATCACCCAGGGCCGTTGCTCCGGTGTGGTGAGGGGGTGATGGTGCTTCCTTGGGAGGGGACTGGCATCCCCCAAAGCAAAGCAGTGAAAGAAAGACTCATCTGTACTTAGTGCTTAAATGACAGAGATGCAAACATGCTCGTCAGTTCTTTGCCTGTTGTCACTTTGCTAGTCTTGATCTTGTCTCGCAGCCGTGGGTTAATCACCCAGGGCCGTTGCTCCGGTGTGGTGAGGGGGTGATGGTGCTTCCTTGGGAGGGGACTGGCATCCCCCAAAGCAAAGCAGTGAAAGAAAGACTCATCTGTACTTAGTGCTTAAATGACAGAGATGCAAACATGCTCGTCAGTTCTTTGCCTGTTGTCACTTTGCTAGTCTTGATCTTGTTACTGAGTCTTCTTGGTGCATATGTGTATTTTTTTTTTTTTGGACTAGATCATCTGGGAGCAAAGCAGGACAAGTTTGGGCCCCTGAAGGATCAACAGCTTTCAAGTGTCTCATCTCAGCCAGGTTCTGTGCAGCTCTCTTAAGCAACATCTCTGATTGCGATGAGACGTTTAACTATTGGGAACCGGTAAGTGGCTTTCTTTCCTTGGAGATACTTGGGAATTTGTAGTTGGCCTGTGCAAATGCAGATCTATCGAGAACCTTGTGCTAACCTCTGTGTTTCAAAGAGAAAATTTCTTACCCAAGAACTCAGAGACGGGAAATGCAAAACTCTCTACTCTTTGTGATGCGTGTTTATTTATTTATTTAATATCTGTTGTAGACACACTACCTCATTTATGGAAAGGGATTTCAGACATGGGAATACTCTCCAGCCTATGCCATCCGCTCCTATGCTTACCTGTGGCTTCATGCCTTGCCAGCCTTGTTCCATGCTAGAGTTCTGCAAACTAACAAGGTAAATCAGATGTGTGAAAGCTTCTTTTGTGATGAACAAACATGGCTTTAGTCTGTGTTGAACAGCTGCTTTGTTTGTTGTCAGAGTTAAGAGAACTAGTGTTTATAAAACACTTAATTTGTTTATAAACACTAACCTTATGTAAGGATTTGCAAGGGTTTGTGAGCTGACTCAATGGGATCCAAGGAAAAAGTGATTGGGAAGTTGCAGGGAAATGCTGTCAGGCTCTGGTTTGATTAAGAAGCTGTCCCAGATGGGCTCGTAGCTCCTTGGTCTTTTGAGTGTGTGCAGGCCTGGGGACAGTTACTTGGCCTGTGTAAAACCAATGTAAAAACAGTTATTCAGCCTTGCGAGTTTCACCCTGATGCTTTAGAAGCCTGTATTGTTTTCTATGCCAGCTATCAGTGACGGTTTTGATATTTTTTTCAATTAACTGTACCAAACAAATTAGTATTTTGCAAGGGATGTTGCAAACTGAACTCAGAAATGTAAAAGAAAAAAGCACTGAATGTGCATTTTGCTTAGGTATCCATTGCCGTACTTGGCATGTTTCTGCACAACAGAAAATAAAAGAGGGGTAGTTCTGGTAAGTTCAGTGGACTGTGTTCACTTTCTATGTTGTACAGGACTTCAGTGTTAGAGGGCTAGGCCTTGAGCTGCTAGGATCTTCAGCAGCCCTTGTGGGATCCCGGTCTAGAAGAACAGGCTCATTCACTATTGCCAGACGTGCTCCATCCTGTTCAGAACTTTTGTTCTTGGGACCAACTTGTTAGTAATAGGTGCATAAGCTTCATTACAAACCTTGTTCAGACTCTCAGTATGTTTCCTAGGTTCTTATCTTCTATTTCCTTCGATGCTTCCTGGCCTTCCTGAGCTGCATTTGTGAACTCTACTTCTACAAGTGAGTATTAGAAGATGTCTACAGTGAATGTTTTGGAGCAACATGAGCAACATATTCAGTTATTGCCACAGGAAATACACTCTGAAGCTCATGTGTGGATGTGCCTGGTAAATTGGGCTACTTCACAGTGAACCTTGAAGATATGTGTTCTCATAATAACTTAATGAAATATCTGTCAGAATTCCATTGCTAGGACAAAATGATATTCTCAGATCTGCCACCCACATCTCCACTCCAGCATTTTGTTGAGTACACTCATTTTCTCACTGATACCAGCAAGCAGGGTGGGAGTGTTGTAAATTGAGCTCTACTGGAGGAGAGACTGGTGCTGTGTTTGCTTGTCATAGTGAATTTTAGTGGAATACATCAGTTGTTGCTGTCTGTAACATATCCGCCAATGGTGTTTTCATCCACTAAAAGCAGTACCCTGAACATACAATTATCTTGTCTAAGCTGGATTTTTATATTTACCTGATGCTTCTTCATTTGTGACTTTCAGACTATTACCTTGCGTGGCTTTTCTGTTGGCAGTAGTCTGGTTTTAAGAATGTGAGCTGTGGCTTTTTGCATGATGGGATTTTGTGAGGGGTGAAAATCTCAGATACATTGATGTTGGTACAGCAATACAGACTCCCAAAGTTCCCGAGAGTTGCATAAGCGCAACTGACACTGGTCTCTTTGGAAGTTTTGCACTAGTTGTAACTTAAGAGGATCTGAAATCCCAGGCCAACATACTGCTCTTCAGGTTGCCTTCAGCAGCTGAGTAATGAGAATCATCCACCTTACAGCTCTCAGGATGCTGCTCTATGGATTGTTTGTGGTTCTGCATGCATTGGGTACTGTTTGTTTCTGTACTGAGGGTATTTTTGTGGTCTCTAATTCTCTCTTGCTTCCTTAGGGCTGTGTGCAAGAAGTTTGGGCTACATGTGAGCCGGCTGATGTTGGCCTTCTTAGTACTCAGCACTGGGATGTTTTGCTCATCTGCAGGTAAGTTTGCTTAGCAATGGCACTAACAACTACTTTGGCCATAGAAACCAAAGTCGGGTCCAGAGCGAAGGAAACCCAGAGCACTAAAATACCTCTCTAGCAGTCATTTGTTGTATTCTGTTGCAGGTATTTCTCATGGCAGGTGTGGTGACATAATAAGTATTGATTCAAATTATGTTCCCTGCATCACTTTCTTGTATCTTTCCATTTCCCAGGCATGTTTGTTTCTATTGCTGCTTCCAGTCTCTCTGCAATGGGCCATGCCTTTCAGAGCGTTGGCCTACCTTCCTTGAACATATTTTAATCCAAGGAAGGAGGGTCATATTTTGGCATTGTCATTTGCCTTTGTATCCAACATGGGTCCTTCCCACAGGCTGCAGTTCTTCACAAACTACTCCAGCATGGGTCCCTCCTTTTCATTGGGTGCCCTCCTTCAGGAACAGGCTGCTCCAGTGTGGGTCCGCAACAGGGTTACAGGTCCTGCCAGAAGACTTGCTCCAGCATGGGCTCCTCTCTATGGGGCCACAGGTCCTGCTGGGAGCCTGCTCCAGTGCAGGGTCTTCATGGGGTCACAGCCTCCTTTGGGGCACATCTGCCTGTTCCAGTGTGGGGTCCTCCCCAGGCTGCAGGTGGAGATCTGCTCCACCATGGACCTCCACAGGCTGCAGGGGGACAGCCGGCCCCACCATGAGCTGCAGGGGAATCTCTGCTCTGGTGCCTGGAGCACCTCCTCCCCTCCTGCTGCACTGACCTGGGTGTCTGCAAAGTGGTTCCTCTGCCATATTCTCACTCCTCTCCTCAGCTGCAAATGCCCTGTTTGTTTTGGTTTTTTTTTTTCCTTTTCTTAAATATGTTATCACAGAGGCATTACCACTGCTGCTGACTGGCTCAGCCTTGGCCAGCAGTGGGTCTGTCTTGGAGCTGACTGGCATTGGCTCTGTCAGACACAGGGGAAGCTTCTGGCATCTTCTCACAGAAGCCACCCCTGTGGCCCCCCCCACTACCAAAACCTTGCTATGCAAACCTTACAAAACACCTGCTGTAGGTATCGAGTAAAGTGCAAAGAGAGACTTTGAGCAAAGGTTTTCTGTATTGTGTGCATACAGAAACTTAAAGGGAAATACCACAACTTAGAAATGCTGAGATTTCTTATTTTACCCCCTTTTTTTTTATGGTGAACAGAGAAAGGACTTTCCCTTCATTGTTTTTGCAGTGTTATAGGTCTCCTCATTCTTCACCAGTCTCTAGCCAGTTGTTTCAGTGACTTTACCCAGCCAGCTGACATTTTCTGCTGCCACTTGAGCAGGATCATTTCATTTTTTTTCACCTAGCAGAATATAGAGGGTGCAGCAAGTGGTAATCATGGATGCTGTCAACTGGTTACCACTGCTGAGTGCCACTGAGGCCTTCATACTTGAAGTATTTCTAGTCTTGGCAGAACAAAAACCCAGAATCCTCTTTTTTTTGCTTTCACTGAAATGAGGGTGTCCAGTGTAGCATCCTAGCTCCGATGGAATGAATGAGAGATGATTAGCCTTATCTTGGCCTCATGCAGTTCCCCCACTGTGGGAAAGCTGTGCTAACCCCTTTCTTTTCTTGTGTTGCAGCTTTCCTCCCAAGCAGTTTCTGCATGTACACCACGGTGATTGCCATGACTGGCTGGTATATGGACAAGACTTCTGTAGCAGTGCTGGGGGTGGCTGCTGGAGCCCTTCTGGGCTGGCCCTTTAGTGCAGCTCTTGGGTAAGGAGAGAAGGGCTCAGGAGTTTTGCACTTTGTCAAATGTTTCTTGCCTGGTTGGGGAGAATGGAGGGGCTGGAGAGCTGGAGGAAGAAACTAGCAGGGACTGAGCTGCCAGCCTAGTCCGGGATCATTGATACAGGCTGCCATAGCCTGATTTCTTTGCTTTTGAAGAGCTTAGGTTGGGAAGATTTCCTGACCTTAATATACTGAGAGTAAGACCTGAGTTGGATGACTGAAATACAGAGTAGAAGCAGAGCCCAGAGAAGTGATGGTTCTCTTCCAAGCCACTGCCATGCTTGCTTTGAAGTGGCAGGAAAACCTGCAGTGGGGGAAGTCAAAGTCTCCAGTTGATACCTGGTCTCTTTTTCAGGCTTCCTATTGCCTTTGACTTGTTGATACTGAAGCAGAGGTGGAAAAGTTTCCTAAACTGGTGTGTGGTGTCATTGATCCTGTTTTTGGTAAGTGCCTGTAACAACGCAAAGAAGGAATGGATTGGGGTGGGTTCCATTAAGAAAATCATGTGGAGCTTTTGGGCAGTCCAGCCAAAAGCTTCTGGCACTTCAAATAATAGATGCTTTCTTTCAGGTGCCCTTGGTAGTTGTGGACAGCTATTACTATGGGAAGCTGGTAGTTGCACCTCTCAACATTGTTTTATACAATGTCTTCACCTCTCACGGACCTGATCTCTATGGTGAGTTTAAGATAACAAGACAGGGAGTCGGCGGTTTTCTTGCTACTGTCTCACTGCCGTGATCCACCAGGTCTTGATTGCCAGTCCTTTTTCTGACGTACTCGAAAGCAAAAGCAGCGCGCAAGCTCCAAAGGGCTGCAGTTCCAGCTTTAAGCCACAGGATGTCTCTCTCGAGCTGGGAATCCGCTAGGCCGTTGTGGGTTAAGCTGGTTTTGTTGGCTTTCAAGTTCTGTAAACCGTCGTGGGATGTCTCGGCGTCACAGCCGAGAACTGTTACAGCAAACGTGTCTGGATGCTACGCGAGTGCCTAAGAGATACATGCGTGTGTTGATCAGCTTTACTTGAGTTCCTGGCTGTTGTTCCGCACAATTAGGGTGCAGAACCTTGGATAAGTGGGTAACAGTGCAAAATTCATAGTTCTTTCAGCTCACATCGGGTCTCTGCAGACTTTCTGAGTCCATACTGTGCCTTGGGAATCTCCTTGCTTATTGGCAGTGCATGGCCCGGGCTTTGCTGGCAAGCGGAATCTGGGGTTACTGTAAAGGCATCTAATCTGCAAGCAAATCATCTGCCTACGAGGGGTTCCCTGGTACTGGCCATTTAGGATGCTGTGTGACGCAAATATCAGGTCTGAACCTTGACAGCAATGCTGTGTTGTTCGTTTGGGAGCCGCCACTGCACTAAGTTGTTCACATCATGTACTTCTAGAGCTGAAGAGTAGAAAAGTATATTTCTAGCAGGGCTTCAGAGGAGCTGGTGGAAACTTCAGGGAGCTTAGGGTGCAGGGTCCCTACATCACCTATGTCAATTGTTTAAGCCCTGTCGAGATACTCTAAGAGGGATTCAGCAGTCGTTAGCATCAAGGCTTTCTCTGGCAGCACCCTGCAGGCCGTATTTGTTGGTTCATTTGAAGGGCTGTTTTGGGTGGTGCTGAGTGGTGATTTGTTACTTCTGCTGTGGCACAGCAGGGCAACAGCTGCTTTGCCGTGGTTCTTCATCTCTGCAGGAAGGCTCTGAAGTCTGTTGCTGTGACTTTTCTGTAAGGAAACTCCAGGCTCTGTCTCTGATAGGTTTTGGCATGGGCTTGTGCCTGACCTTTTCCACACTGGTGCATGATTTGTTTCCAGAAGCCTCCAGGGACCAATCTATTCTGAAGTGCTTTATTCATAGTGACATTCATATAACATCCTCAGGCTAGTAAAAGAGCCTGCTTGAAATTGCTCTTTAATGCAACGTGGCCGGAACAACGCTGTGTGTTTAGAGAGCTTCAAAACACTTGGGGAAAAATAACACTACCAGGGGAGATGAAAGGCTGGCCAATCCCTTTTGGCTTTGGAGCTGGGATTTCCCAACTTTCACATGATGGGAGCAGGAACTGCTGGAGGTTGCAGAGTCATCAACCCATATCATCTTCAATGTAAGCACCTCGGTATTTTTCCTTTTGCCTACAGACTGGAGTTGTTCTTTTTTTTTTTTTTTTTTTTTTTTCTTTAGCAATACACTCCTTCTGGATAAATACAGTCTGTGCAATTAATATTTCCCTGGGGTCATTAAGTTTATATAGCTTCTAAGCATATATCCCTAAGCCTGATTCTGAGGCTTTGGGATGTTTTTGTGTACATATGTTATAAGAACACACAATTTGTGACAAAAGTTTTGTCCCACGTCCTGTGATCAGAGCCTTGGCTGTGACTTGCAGTGTGATGGCACTTTGGGAAGCTTTGTTCAGCTTGGGCGGAATGCGCTGGAACTGTTTATATGACACCTTGCTCTGTTGAGTCCTGGTTCTTAAACAGAGTGAAAATAAATGAAATGCAGAAAGCAGGCTGTTTATTATACCAGCACTGAATCAGACTTGCTTAGAATGAGGGCTGTGACTCACGATCAAATTATTGTGGCTTAGTTACTGCTTAACAGCTGAGCTACAGTTCCTGTCTGCATGCAGGCTTTTAGCCTGTGACAAACATAGGGTGGGGCACCTTAGCTTAAGCCTATTTTACAACTCCTCTGCTGTGTCCTGAGCCGCCCTCACCATTGCTGTGGTCAAACTGCAGCATGGCAGCTTGTTAAGTTCTATTAACTTGTGTGTGAGGTTGATTTCTAGAATTGTTCCCGGAGCCTGTCACAGAGCACTAAGTTGAAACCAGTTTCTGGCTCAGTGTCTGACAGTGCTTCCAGTTGGTTATTCCCATGGAACCATAGTGCCATGAACTGACTGGGCCACAAGCATTCTTCCCACTGCTTTCATCAGTCTCTCTCCTACAGCCCACATCTGCTCAGCTCTAGCATGTGGGATACTTGCAGGAACTTAAATCTTCTGTCATGGTCTGACAGCAATGCTGTGGAAGCGTGTTCCCACCAGTACTGTGCATGAAGAGTTCTTTAGTGTCCCTCTCTGCTTGAAAGACATTGTTCTGGGACAGGACTTCTTGTATGCAATGGGGTTGTTCTTTTTTTGTATTGCAGTTCTTTCTCAGACCACCTTGAATCGTTGTGGATAACAAGAATAAAAACATTTTGCCCTGGGAGGCATTGAGACTGAATGCCCCTGAATGCATGAGTCATCACAGTGACCCAGCCTATTGCTTTTTGCCTGGTGTCTGTGAATTATTTAACTTGCCTGTGCAATGCACTGTTCTCCCATCATGGTTTTTTTTTTTTCCCTTTTTTTTCTCTCCTCACCTAGAGAAGAAAATCCCTCATTGGAGAAGGAGGGGAGGTTCCAGTGCTTGGTTCTTAACGGCAATTCAGTCACATTGCAAAAGAATTTGATAAAGTAGCCTTTTTGTTAAAGCTGTGCTTCAGACCAGCTGACCTCTTTATTAGCAGAGTCCTTCAGGACACCTCTGGGCCTTTAAGGCTGCACCTGGATTGTGGAGGACATGTGCTTCATGAAATGTCCTTCATTCCTGAGTCCCAGGCTACCAAATCAGAGACCAGGCTGGAGAGAGCCATAGTTAATTTCCTTTACTTTCCATAGCAGCCAAGGGCAGGTGAAAGGGTGGCAGTATGGTCCCTGATACTATCCTTTAAAGATTTGGGACTTGGCTGTGCTGTGTAGCTTAGTTGTAGCCAGAAAACACTGGAGGATAACATTTTATGTCAGTTTAAGAATTTTTCTATCTCACCCTGGCATCTTCTAGGATAAAGTGGCTGTTTTTTTAGCAGTGGGAGCAGAGAAGCAGGCTACAGAACCCACTTGAAGTCCTTTTTTATATAAGGAGAGGCCCTGGTGCTCCACAGAAGTAGTTACTAGAGTGGCCTAACCGGTGTTAACCCTGCTCTAAGTCTTCAGAAACCTGTATTATGGCCTCAAAGAGAATCTGGAGGCAGCAGGGCTGGGAAGAAACCAAAGCCCCCTTTACACATGCTTTTTCTGCTGAAGATTTATGGTGTGATACCTCATACTGCCTCAGGTTCTCCCTTCCAGACATATCCCAGTCAGCAGCTCTGATTTTTAGGAAGGGTAGTATGCTTCAGTCCTAAAATGATCTGCTTTCTGCATGTGTTCAAGATCTGTCCACTGATTATTTAGAATTGCAGCGCTTAAATATGGAGAGTCACCAACGGAGTCTAGAGAAGGAGGAAGGGACATTGGCACTATTGCAATGTTGCCATACAGATAACTCTGTCATGTCCATCACTTGACATGATCTTTCAACCTACCATATCCCATATTCAGCCTTTCACAGGCTGAGGATTGTGCTTATGTGTGACTTAGAAGAATTATGAGGCAGGTGGAAGGAGAGATAAGGTGAATTTCTAATAATTCACTCCCTTAAGACTCCCTGCTCCCCAAAATCCAAACTGTAATTGCTATTTTCTTTCAGTGCTAATAGCTAAAGGTTTCCTAAATGAACCTCAGTTGCTTGGACTTGGCCTTAGTAGCTCCAGCGACATGTTTCTGACATTACCAGTGCAGCTGCTAATCATATTTAGCTCTAGGAGCTGCAGAGGTTTCAGGTTTTCCTTGCTGCTTTTCAGTTGTCTGATTAATTTCAACATGGACCCTATTTAAGTGGCTCTGATTGCAGGAAATTGCTGCGGCATGTGACACATGTCACAACAGTGCAGTGATTAAAGCCCCCGCGTGTCATTTACTGACTGATTGAGCTAATCACACTGAGAGAGTGGCAAATGTGTGGAGAGGAACTGGCATTCCGTATTGTTCAGGATTTTAAGCATCCTGAATTAGGAGTCCAAATAAATGACAGTTGGACTGGAATTTCTTTCAATTTATGTCTTTCGAAGCTTGCAACAAATACCCAAGTATGTCATGTTAGGAGGCAGAGTTGGCTTGCACCTGTTTGAAGCTACACTGTAAGAACAAATTGAAGTAGGGACATTTTAACTAGTGTTGACTCCAAGGAGGTACCAAAACTAGCATCTGGAGGAACTTTAGTGGCAGAGTCTTTGTTGGGGTGAAGTGCAAATGTGAACTCTTTTTCTTGTTCTTTTTTAGTACATTTTCTATTTCTGCCAACATGGAGTATATGTCATCACTCCAGAATTACAATGATCTCTTATTAACTTTGTTTGTTACTGTGTTACTCCTCTGTTACTTCTCTTCAATTAGAAAGAATTAATTTGGAGTCAAGTTTCCTAGTTTTACAAGTTTCCACCTCTACTTTCTTGCCATGTAGGCTTTCTTAATGTAAGGGTAAGTTCTGCGTCATAGAACTCTGCTGGGCAAGGCTGACAGAGTGGCCTGTGTTTCATGAGCAGCAGATGTGATATTGACTATGACCCAGTGAAAAAGGAAGGAGAGAAATAATTTCTGAAAAGGAAGACAATGAAGTTTCTTGGGCAGACATGATTGTGAGATACTCTGGTGCCTTTGTATGGCTATTGACTAACTCTCATGGTGCTGTTATGGCAGTTTTATGGGTGAGGAGGAGCACCATGAGACTGCTTTTGAGACGGCTCAGGCTCATTCCATGGGGCTGTGTCCTCTGACCAGCTACAAAATCTGTCCACACCCCTTCCATTCTTTGGTTCCAATATGCTTGCAGTGGGGGGAGTTGAAGTCTGCTGCTGATTATCTCAGCCTGTGTCAGGCAGAGAAGGAACGAAGCTGCTGTTACATCTAGATCTCATACATGTTTGTATTTCAAATCTCTTGTTTCCTTTTCTCATGCTTTAGGTACAGAACCCTGGTCCTTCTATTTCGTCAACGGCTTTCTGAATTTCAACGTGGCATTTATTTTGGCGCTGCTTGTGCTGCCACTGACTTGTGTCATGGAGTGTCTGCTTCAGAAATTTCATGGTGAGTGTAAGACAGCTGTGAGAGCCAAGCACAGACAGCCCAGAACTCAACCTTGTTACCAAAGGGGGAGCTTGCCTGCCAAAGAGGAAGTGAAACTAGGTTCAGGAAAAGTCTTTGGAATAATAGGAAAGTTCCTAGAGCTTGCTCAGTTCAATATTGACCCCACAATGGAGTTGCTGTGTAGAAAGAAGACACAGTGAGATGCATCTACTTACATACTGTCTGCAGAAGGGCAGAAGCATGTTTTTCTCTTTAGGGATGATTCCTGTGTTCCCTGCTTCCACCTCAAGAAGAGCAATGTATTATCAAGGCTAAACTATCCATACCCAGAGTAAGCTTAACAAGTTGTATGGTACATAACCTTCAGCCAGATGTGCCAATGCATTAGAAATCGCCCTGTCAGAAATCTTAAGGGGGGAGGAAGCTATTGTTTCCATCTTACCTGCAGCTGGAAATGGTAGCCTTTAGAGTTATTTGGGGAACCTTTTGCTGCCTCTTCCATTGTTGCTTTTTTATACCACTTCCAGAATGTTTTCTGCAGCAGCTTGAGAGAACAGAGTTGTTACTTCCTTTTTCAGTGTTGGGGCTGAGCCTACAAATAGCCATCCTCTGGTCTCTGCTAATGCCACCCATCTTGGGATTGACCCTGGACTCTTCTGTGCACTGTGAAAGGCACTCTTCAACTCACAGGACTGAGCCCTGGCAGGACAGTCTTGCTGCCTTGTTCTTTGGGAAGGTGTGGATATACTGAGAGTAGAGAAAGGAGGAACCACAATATTCCCTACTTCATGTTGGGCTTTCTCTTAAATAAAATGACATCAGTTTAAACACATGACATTTGGCAAGTGATTCCAGAGAGGAAAAAGGTGTTGAGGAAGTGTGAATTCTTTTCTCCTGTTTTCCTAAGGAAGATTCGTTAAGCGTCAGAAGCAGCCTCTAGATTCATCAGTCCAGTTAGTGTTTCACTCTCTGATTTTCTACTGAGTACAAGAAACAATAACATCATAATCCTTGCTGAAAATGTATGTTAACGGGTATTTGCTTATATCTGCTCCTTGGATATGACTGACATACTGTCAGAAACCAGTAAAAGCTCAGTAGGAGATCCTGTAAATGCAAGATTTCCTGCTGTTCACTTGGTGTTCTTGTACTTAACAGCAGGAGCAATTCTGCCAAGTGCTTTGTTCTTATTGTCTGTGAAATGCCGTTAGCTTAATTGCTTAACTCTGCTGTTGGGAGTAGAAAGGGGGCAGAAAAGGGACTGAAGATTGTCAGGCACTGTAGAACCCTCCTCAGTGTGACTAAAATTCAGGGTAATTGTTGTTATTTTTGAATCAGTTATTTCCTCTGTTAAACAGAAGGTGCCTGAGAGACCTTTCACGCTGTTATTTTTGTAATGAAGCAATGAAGGTTTTGGAAACTTAGTCACTAAACAACCAGTTGTAAGTGGAAGGGTAGGTCCAGAGGAGATCCTTTCTGATATTTGTATGTATAGCATAACACACAGCAGGAAATCTAGTACTTCTGACTACCCATTTAGACATGTCAGTTGTTGATGGGTTTTGTCTCTTGCTTGGACTCAGTAACACATTCCCTTATTTTCTGCTTTTGGTCTTGTGAAGTCTGTTGAAATTGCTAGTATTGTAGGAATCTACAGAAGTTCTCTGATCAAAATGCTATACTGACTGTTTGGACATGTTACCTGGATTTTAGCAACAGGGCTGCTCAGAACATGGTGTGTTTGTATCTGAAGGCAATGGTTTGGGTCTGAAGAATGGGCTTTAGAATCTGAGATAGGATAAATCCCTCATTTTTACATTACTACTTTGCTGAGTGTTTGTTTCTTTTAGTTCAGAATCTGGGCCGTCCCTACTGGCTGACACTAGCTCCTATGTACATTTGGATCATGATTTTCTTCAGTCAGCCCCACAAAGAAGAGAGGTTTCTCTTTCCCATCTATCCCCTCATCTGTCTCTGTGGTGCTGTGGCTCTGTCTGCTCTTCAGGTAAGTTTTAGTGGAACATGGTTTTTTTAATGAGCTCATACCTTTAGGAAGCATAACTGATAGCTAACTTCTTGAACATTGCTTCCCAAAGTTTGGGAACATCTGCAGAATATTTGTGTCTGTGACACAATCTACATTGATCTACACTGATTACACAGTTCAAGACTGTCCTATGCATAACTTTGATCATCATCTTTAATCTGTTAGCTGGTACAGTTTTAATTTTTGAACCATATTTCATGTTAAGGCTCTGGAAACAAAATGCACAGCCATTCTAATACTGAAGTGTGTTGCTAATTTTACAAGTTAAACCATAATCTTCCTGTACAGGTTGATTGACAGTATGTGGAAAACTATTAGCCCTCTGCAAGATGTGATGTAAAAGCAAAAATATCTGGGATTTCCCCCCTGAGTGTCATACAGAATAAGCTCGTCTAATAATCTTGGATTTCAATGCAGACTGCTTATGGCCCAGCAAAAAAAGATCAAATTTCATGGCTTTGTAAGGTGATCACATTAGGAGCTTGTCAGGGATTGTTTGAAGTGATAAATGGTTGAGAGTATCTCCTTGCCACTAATTATTTCATGACGATTTTGAGTTGTTCTCCCTTCTGGTGAGGAGCAGTTGGGTTGCAGTGCCAATACAACACAACATCCAAGAGATGTCATGAGGATTAGTAACTTGCTCATAGCATTGTGCCTCCTTTGTCTGCTGTTGAGCAAGCTTTAAGGGGCAGGAATGTGTGTGTGTGTAGGAAATGCATTTTGTTGTAACCTAGTAGGAATCCTTCACTGATTTGAGAAAAGGAAAAGTGATCCTGTTTAGGCATGGAGAAATTGCATTGGACATTTGGAAGAGCCAAAAATTGGACGTTTAGTAAATATCACCTGAAACACTTCATAAAGTAAAACACTAATATAGATTCATATAAACCTTCCCAAAGCTCAAAATTACAGATCTTTCCTCTGTTAAAGAGGCGCAGGAATGCAGACACTAGTCCCTGTTAGAGCCTGTTCCAGCTGTTTGGCCTCATTCTGCTGATACTCCTCTGTCCTGCTGTGCACCACTGCTGGCTGTTTTTGTCCTGGGCTCCCCACCAGCATTACCTGCACTCCTCAAATCACTCCCTTTTCCCCTGGTCAGTTGCTATTCTGACTGCTAATCTCCCATCACTGCTGATGCTTTGCAGTGCCGGAGCACCCCAGATGAGTTTCCATCCTTGCATTTGTACAGGATCAAGCTCTGTAATGTCAGCAGTTTTATGGCTCTGACTGAGAATTGCTATGTGCTGTCAGAACATTTGTCAGAGGGAAACAGTTTTGGACCTTAGCCAAATATGACTTTAGGAAAATCTAGTGTATGTTTTTGTCCTGCAAATTTTAACACTGTTTGATGACATTTTGTCCAGGATTCGGTATCCAGCTGAGAATTTAGAACTGATTGCCCTCTAGTAGTATAAGCTTGTCCAAGTCTACTCCTCCAAATCACGTGGATCTGGCTGTTAGGAGAAAAATGCAAAAAAGACAAGAGGAACAGAAATCAGATTATGATAGGAAGTGAATAATCACTCCTGCAGAAAGGTAGAGCAGGAGGGAGAGACCAAGCCAAGTACTGGATGTAGTTCCTCCTGGGTATTCCCAGAAAGGCGTTCAAATTAGAGAAACCTAAAGGGCTTTTCTTTTAACAATTTCAGAGTGGCTTGTGTTTAAAGGCAAATGCAGAATGTGCTCTGTGTTCTTTTATCTGCTTCAAAGCTGTAGTTTGTGCAGACAGGGTAAACAATCATAGGCCACTCAGTAAATCTGGGTCATGGAACTTCTGTTGGAGAGGAAGTCAGTCCAGCATTGAAAATTAAGTCTGCATAGGTTCTACAGAAGTGTCTGAAACCACTTGCTGAACCACTGAATCACTGGCTGCTGGTTCACCTGGGAACAACCAAGCCGGAGCCCTGGTAAAGAGCACTTTACAGCTTGACTAGAGGCTTTCCTAGGGAAAAGAGCTAAAAATGTCTTTAAATACCCTAGATTATCAACTAAGAAATGTGGCTGAACCTTGTGAGTTTCTGTGCATTTTTTATGTGTCTGAATGAAAACACTGAGACCAAAGATCTGGTGGGAGATGCAGGTACTGCTGTAAGATCCTTATGAAAAGTACAATTTTGCTAAACATATCAGAGTGTGAGTAATTTTATATTGTCTTTTTTTTTTTTTTTTAATCTTTCCTCAGAAATGTTACCACTTCATATTCCAGCGCTACCGCCTGGAACACTACACAGTCTCCTCCAACTGGCTGGCTCTGGGGACTGTCTTTCTCTTTGGCCTTTTGTCATTGTCACGCTCTGTTGCCTTATTCAGAGGTTGGTATCTTAGACTTGTTCTGTGCTTCCCTGGGAAGTCTTGGAAAGTCTTGGAAAGTCTTAGGGCCTGCCAAGGTTGTGCTGCTTTGTCTATAGCAGCACAGTAGAAATAAGGAAATTTGAAAGTTTGGATGTCATTGT